TGGCAGCGCTGCCGCTCGGCTCCGCGTCCTGCCGCCCTCCCAGGCCTCCACTGGGTCACCTCAGCGAGCCGCCACACTGCGGGTCAGCTCCCGTCCCTGCCCTCAGCCAGATTCACCGACTCCCACGTCTCTACCAGTTCCCCTGCCTAGGCAGCTACTCCCAGGCAAAGGCAGCAGGACCTGCTGGCGCCCTAAGAAGTGAGAAGCCCTCTGTGGACCTAGGCACATCCACAGCACGACTGAGGGAGGCCCTTGAAACGTGCCAAGGCTGCTGAGAAGACGACGTTTGTGCCTATTTCCATAGAACATTCCAATCTTAGTCCTCCTCCCGTCTCCTTCCAAGGTCTGGGCTGGACTTATCGGGATGTCCTTGTGGGGTTCGCTGCTGTGGAGCAGGGCTTGTAGGCCTTGCTTGACCAAAGTCAGTGATGAAAGGATGCCCTGATGAAAGATTCAAGGACTGTGGAAAAGTACAGAAAGAAGTAAACAAGAACAGAAGCAAAGATTCATAAAGAAATGGGACTGAGTGGTCTGCCAAAAAATGCAATTGGCAAGTAAAGATGTTACTGGGAGGAAGTTATATCCTGTACTAATGAGAAACCAGATACCAAATATAATCAGTAGTTGTCACCATAAATATCAGGTATAATCTGTAGCTGTCACTAAAGAATTGCATGTTCCGATGAGATAATCTTAAAAATAGTATATAAAGTACTGAATCTATGAATAAAGTTTGACATTTGCAGCATTCATATTGTATGCGTATGCTTTGTCCATCTTCACCATGGACATGTCGCAACATGTCCTCTCTCGAGCTTCTGCTTACACCACCTGGAAAGGCTTGGTGAGGCAGGGAAGTGGAAGCTGGAGCTATCAGCCCCAGGGCAGGACGCTGTGGTCAGCGCCCACCAGCCCCACGGGTGCCCGTGTGGAGCGTACAGCCAGAGATGTCGGGCTCTGGGTTCCCTTGCCTGGAATAGTTGAACATTATTAGCTAAAGGTAACAGAAAACAAAAGCCCACTCTTGCTCATTTCCTTGCCTCTCTCACCAAAACTGGTCACTCATCAGCAGGGACGGGTGGCTGACCCTAGCAGACATACCTTGTCATCAAGCTGGTTCCTTCGGGCTGGTAGTGTGGCTGCAGGAGGGTTTAGATACCTGGGAAGGCAGCGGCTGCACAGGAAGATTTCAGTGTGATTTCGACCATTCTCAGGGACACACGAAGCAACCAGAGGCTGTAGGAGGTCTGCAACATGTAGCTGACGCATTCCAGATGTCTGCACAGCAGTGTGTGGACAGGCAGAAGGTCAACAGCACTCACCAACAATGCCAGCGCTGAGAAGCAACTGGAGCAGACTGGAACCAGCTCTGAACCCTCGTTCAGAGGAGTCAGATGACGAAATCCAGCTGGGAGAACTGCAGAGATCAACTCTGAACGGTGACAGGGAAGAAAAGACAGCAACAGGCAACTGCCATAACAACACTCTCCTCGCCTGTAAGCCGAAGTTTTTCAAGTACTTAATTATCACACTTTACTCTCCTTTTGTTTGTGTTTAGCCGAATTTATGAAATAGCCGCAAAATTCATTTTTATGTTTTACGTAATGGATAAGACAAATGGTTTTCTCAGAGCGCATTTAATATGTTTTCCACAGGTTTCCACCAACCAACATCTCAAACTCAAAACCTGACACATTTATTTACTCTTCTGAATTGACAGATTCAAGTTAATCCCTTTATTTTTAAGGGCCATTTATTAAACACAGTTAACATCACAAATATAGGCTACCCATATTTGTAAAACTGTCTCGTAAGTCCGTATCTATAGTTTAGCTTCATACTCACTAGGGTATAAACACAGTTAGAATAAGGCATACAAAAGGCTTCCGGCGACATCTTGTACCTTGTTGCACCTGAGACACCACCGTGCCCACCATCTTCTAAGGCATTTTTCCCTACGATCAGAAAATATAAGCTAACAGTAAAATCTGAGAATACTCCGACATTTCAAATAATGAGAATTTGCTTCAACTTCTCTCTTTGTACAGAGCTGAGCAGAACTTTTTAATGTACCGCAGACAGAAAATCCGATTTTTATATGAAGCATGCACATCCAGTCTGGTCCAAAAAAATGGTATGGCACATACAAGCTTATATTTAACTTTTATCTTTATTTCCACAAAAGTATATTTAAGTCCACCTTTTGTCAGAAAAAGCTGAGGTAATCAATGCAGAAGCCATTTCCGCAATTATTCACTTTGTCCTTCACTAACCTATATGAACAAACTGTGTCTTGGGCTATTTATCTCAGAACAACGACAAAGAACATTTTCTAAGTATTCCAACACCGCTATTTCAGCTGGATTCATATTAACGGAAACCCCTCCAGGGAGTGGAGGACAGACCCCCTCAGAATGAAAATTTGGCTCTCATACACTGTCTGAGCAACTGTTCACTTCCGTATACACAAAAAATTTAGGCAAAGGACAACAAATGGAGCAACTGAGGTGTGGAAAAGCTGCTAACCATTCCGCTCACAGGCAAAAGGGAGAACAGAGAATCAGCAACTTTCTCTAACATGTGGGTCCTGTTTTGATTCCCGCCACATCCTTCCAGACCCCCAGCAGCACAGCGGAGAAGAGGAGGAGCCTAATCCCACTATAATGCTACTAAATACTGACTAGTGCTCATTTTCAAGGAAGCCACGGTACATTTCCTCAGCTGTAATTCAGCGTTCTTCCCACATTTCAGAGAAGGGAGGTTTTATTAAGTAGCATTTTCAATTACAACAGACATGAATCCAGGAGAAAGGCCTCTACTTGCATTCAGCTTTTAAAACACAGAACAGTGATTAGTGAGTACAAGTATTTTATACAAGAAATCAAGTCACTCAAGCCCTCTTCATTGTGAACAGGGTTGAGACTGAGAAGCTTCACAGAACGCTGAGAATGAGAAAAGGATCCAAAACAATGTTCAAGGCACACACAAACTGAATAAACAGGTGCTCTGAAGTCTATACTTTTGTTTTCCTCCCTTTACAACTCTACACTATGACATGGAGACAAAAGCCGGGGCGGGGGAGGGAGCTCTTCACCCAGTACTTTTCCTATATAAGGTTCCACAGTTTTGTTTTTGTTAAAAAAAAAGTAATTTATATTTTAATACCTGTTTCAGGATTCTCAGATCTGTGGTGCTGTTAACATTGCACTTAATTGGCATTATCCATTTTTAAAAAGAAATTAAAAGCAGCTCTGAACTTTGCTTCTGAGATGGAAGCACTGTCTCTGAACCAACAATGATTCCTGTCATTCTTGCTTTGCGTCTTTCAAGGCCTGAAGTCTTTCTAAAAGGGGTGGATGGGAGTAGTGCCACATTGAAAAGATCCAGTCAGAAACAGGGAATCCTAAATTATCTTTGTTTAGCTTGATCAAAGCAGAATATAGGTCTTTAGCTTTCCCAAGTTCCTTGGCAAATGCATCTGCTTGAAATTCAAATCGTCGGCTTAATACAGTCAAACAGAACGAGAGAACCTGTGGAGAGAAATATATTAAAATAAATTCAGCTATCTGCAAGTTCCTTACAGAATCAGTAAATACTACTATATCTTCCTTCCCACATCCCACACATCATGGTCGCTGTAGAATGATCCCATTAAGGTTTATCCGGGCCACACCTGAAACTGGGAGTCTTACCCAGCGTGGAGCACTGAGCCTACTTATTAACGCGAGATACCAGATAGAGCCCCTACAATCTTCTAACTCCCCACCCCCTGCCCCGTCAAAATAAAATAATTATTTAAATAGGATGATACTTCAGCATCTATGTCTTGAAAACAACTTACCTCATTGTAAGGTGAAAAAATGAACTGGAAAATAATCATCAAGCCTATCAGGGTAGGCTGGGTGTCATAGAAACCAAACGCAGCAAAGAGTTCTTTTCGACCGATTAACACAGCAAACAAGAAGAAGCAAAGGAAGGAATTCATCTAGAGAAAGGAAACAACATTCTTGACTGAGTTTTTCATCTAAGGCTAAAACATGGCCTATTCGTATCACAGATTTGCACAGAAATGCCACTGAAAAAAACAAAACAGATTACTTTAGAACTAATATACAAAAAGCAGTGAACAGCTTGCCTTTACCTGCTTTCTGTAAATGCATGCAGTGAAGAAACACTTATTTTATGTCAGTGTGCTAAAAAAAAATGTCAAAGTAGCGATGGAAGATGAAAAAGCAAGACGACAAGATAAGGGAGGAGGGAGGACAGGGTAGAATGCATCTCCTTGGAATTATGCATAGGCTCCATAAAGTTTAAACAAAATGTGTCTGTGCTGTGTCATACTTCTATTTCTGGAAACGATCTGTGCTTCCACCTAAGCCATGTCTCACTGTGTACAAGCACTGTGCTCACCTGGCGCTTCAGAGGCAAGAGGCAAGACCATGCCTTGCCATTTTTCCTTCTCAATCCATTCAAGTGTCTCTTTGGTCTTTTTAGAGTCATGTGGAAGGTGCTGGAATATTGCTTATTATTGAAGCACACAGGACAGAAAACAGAGGGATGGCTGTGACAGAAAACATCAACAGAAAAAGTAGAAGCCATCGCAGTAGAATTTGTGAAAATTTCTGGAAGGAAAATCTCCCTATGATGGCAAAGCAATAGTATCTAGAAAGTGGATCCAAAGACAAAAGTTACATGAGTCAGCAGTGGCAAAAGCACCATAACAGTTGCTAGTTAGTGGGGATCAACACTGATGTCAGAAGTCGGAAGGAAACTGCCTCAAAGCAGAAAGCAAGAAGGAAACTGAAGTATTCAGTTACATGGATAAGAAAAAGCCAGTGTGGAAATGGAAAGATAGATATTTTCTTAAACAGGAGCTTGACAGTGATGTTTACAGCCTGATAAGTTTGTGAATAGCCCTAGAAAAAGAACAGAGCGGCATTCC